TCGACTTACATGGGAGGTAAATAGTAACAGCCATTATGTGTACATAATCTGACTCTGCGCAATAGTATACTAGTCAACAAAAGAAACGATACAAGGCCATGTATTAAATTTTCCATATATAATGAAATTGGAAAACTGTACCAAACTTAATAACTGTCCCATAAGTCTAATTTTTACAGAGTGTTATTTTCTTATTAAAACCACTGATTTAAGACAAAAGACCGATTTATTGTTTTTTTATTTTTGTTATTTTAAAAATATTTTTTTTTTGGCAAAAAATAATAATCAATATTAGAACTTAAAATTTTAAACTTAAACATGGTCTGCTTAAAATTTTGATTGCCGTCCGTCCTTGTGTCCATCTGGCTGATCGTGTCTGTCTGTCTGTCTGTCTGTCTGTCCGGTCCTTGCAGCGCTCTCACATGTACAAATCTTGTCAGATTTTTACGAAACTAATACTCTAGGATAAGCAACATCTCAAACAAGTTATATATTGGTGGCCAATCGACTTTCTTAAGAGTTATTACCCTTAAAAATATTTAATTTATGGACAGTGGCCTCGTTAGCGCTCTCGAGGGTATAAGTTGTTTATTTTTCATTTTCAGTATATTTCTGATAGAACGGACGTAGTTTTTTAGTTCACTGTTCCATCACTTGGCGTCCGTCGTCGTCCGTCCGGTGTTACATGTAACTATTTCAAACATCTCCTCTGAATCCACTGAACCAATTCCAGCCAAACTTAAGCTGAATGATCCTTAGGATATCTAGAATAAAGTTTGTGTTTTATTTTCTATTTTGTCAAAAAACATGGCCGCCATGGCTAAAAATAGAACATAGGGGTAAAATGCAGTATTTGGCTTATATCTCAAACACTAAAGCATTTAGAGCAAATCTGATGTAGGTAAACATGCTCATTAGGTCAAGTTCTATCTAAAATTTTTAGATGAATCTAACAACCCATTGTTGGGTTGCTGCAACTAGATTGGTAATTATAAGGAAATTTTGCAGTTTTTGGTTATTATCTTGAATATTATTAATGACAAAGATAAACTGTAAACAGCAAAAAAGTTCTAAGTTTTTTTTATATAGACTGAAATAAAACTTGGACAGAGGCTAATTTTCAAGACCATGAAATAGCATCTAAAAATTTCGATTTGCACAAAACAAGTGTATTTCATGTATTTAGGGACGCAGCAATCCTTCATTCAGTCATCAGCCTTTCGGCTGTTTTCTGTTGTTTGGTTGGATTGTTGTCTCTTTGACACATTCCCCATTTCTGAAAAAAATCTAATATCTAAAAATGGGGAAGGAGGTACTATCATTACCCTAACCCTTTGAAGAAATGTCATGCTTCAATGCTCAAAATGTTCAGAAATCAATACCATCTTTCTTTAAATTTTTGATAAATTTTATAATTTAGAAAAAAAATGATTTTTTTCAAAAAAAGGGGAGGCACCATCCCCAGAGAGAAAAGTTTCATTCTCTTCCAACATATCTCTATCAGTAATATATTCTCATTTATAATTACTAAATTTGTGTCAGAAATAGAACGATTTAGCTTTTTAAGTTCAAAATGTTTGATTATTCATCTGTTTGGGAATCTGAATTTTGGTGAAAATTGTCAATTTTTGACTAAAATAATTTTTTTTAAAGAAAAAAAAACACACGACTATCTTTTTATTTTATGAATATATAGAATGTTGTCTTTCAAAATTTGTCAATGAAATGTCATGGTATTGTTGGTCTTGGGAGATAAACAGATTTAGAATTTAGGAGTTTTTGAAATATTTCATTTTCGAATTTTAACACATTTTTAAATGGTTGCTATGGAAACAAACTATTTGGTAAATTCAAAATTTTAACGTTTTTGAATAGATTGGGATCTTGTTTATTAACAATGTAAAAACCCTAATTGTTTTTATTGATTAACTTAATTTCCATGGGACATTAAATTCCCTTATTTTAAATTTTCAAAAGGGTCTTTTTTCACATATTCAGGCAAAATGTTGTTTTGATGGTTACCATGGCAACGGGCAATATACAGGGGAAATAAAGACAGAATTTTACTTATCTACCAAAGTTCTTATGATATAGGGCCAACAAAATTACTTCTGTGACATGTCTTAGATATGCATTCCATAGTGGTCAGTATTTGAAACAATTTCTAAGTTTAAAGACTTATAGTAATTTCATTTTGGTAATTTCTATATATAATTGACAAATTCTAAAATGTGTCATATTAGAATCTATTTGTTACCACCCTTATTTAAGAAATTGTGCTCAGTATTTAGAAATTATGCAGATAAATATGTTCCTTGCAGCATTATTTTAATGAAGATGAATTTTTTAATTGTTATTCTAGAAATCAGATTTGACTGTTCATTTATAATATGAAGCAATATTTTTTAAAATAAAATTATATCTTTTCAAATGACAGATGATGTAGGAAAATTCTAAAACGCTATAAAAATTATTTTGGTATCTTTTAACTTTTAATGAAACAAATTCATTTATATGGAAACAAAAAATAATTTGCAGAACAGGATGAAACCCTCTGGCGCACCATGAAAAGTCGTAATGTTGTAAGTCACTGGCGTAGATGGAATAAGCTCGTAAACTTGACCTGCTGCAAATCAAATCTTGCTTATGGCACATTTTTAGTTATAAATTATTGTTCATATGTCATTTGATAAGGTACATCTTATATATTCTATGTTTATTTTATGTTTTAAAAAATAATTGCCTAAACATTTAGTCATTCGTGGTTTATTGACATGGTTAAAATTTATATGGTTAGTGTATTGAAACTAATGATGTCAAATCAATGATATTTGGTATATAGTAGATTTATAGTATCCATTGTATTTAAAAGCCCTTACATATTCAGTAAGTCATTGACTTTAAATTTGTCATAGTTAAAATTAGGCAACATCAGGTGCTCCAGAAAGTAAGCATGACTTGCTTCTAGTCAGACACCCTTGTGTTTCACACAATGGTAATATTCTGGAATGGAAGAAAGGAATATATGACAGGTGCACTGTTGTCATTCAGTATACATACATTATTACAATTGTTATTAGGTGGAAGAATCCTAAAATTTCGGATTGGTAATAATGTTACCTTGAATGATTGAAAATAAAAATTGAAAGATGACTAGGAAGAACATAATGATTTTTAGTTCTGCTTGTCAACAGTAAAATCACAATATAGATCTAAAAATGGATCTTTCACTGAAAAGGTTGTTTCTGGATGATACTGTAAATTCAGGAATTATTGCATGCATTTAATCATTGCAATTCTTTCATTTTCAATTTTAATTTTTGAGATGATAAGAACAAGAGTGCACACGCTGAAATGTCTTGTCTACTTTACTGACCATTGATTTTGTCTTGATAGTCCTAAATATAAAAGCTGTTATATTAGTATCACAAATATAAGTATTGTAAATATATTCTTAACATGATCCAAGAAAAGAAGGTCAAAGTCAGTTACACCTTACAATAATTCCATACACAAAATATAGTTGACCTATTGCCTATGGTTTCTTAGAAACAAACTTAAACAGGAAAAGTTAAAATGGAACAATGGACCATAAAAATGAGTTTAAGCCTTCTAGGTCAGATGATCCATGCCTGACAGACATTTACACCTTACAACCAACCTATGCATTAAATATAGACATATTTCGTTCAGTATCTAAGAAACAAATTTAACCATGAAAACTACATTGACCAATGAGCCATGAAATTGAAGTCAAGGTCAATGATATTTGCCGGACAGACATGTTCATCTTAAAATATTTCCGTACACCAAATAAAGTTTACCTATTACATATAGTATGCGGAAAAAAGACCAAAAACTAAAACTTAACTAACCACTGAACCATGAAAAAGAGGTCAAGGTCAGATGACACCTTCCAGTTGGACAAAAAAAATCACAATAATTTCTTAATTTCCAGTAACTATGCATGCCTTGTTGTAATTTGATGATGTTTACATAGACTTTATATATGGTTACAAGGTAGAATTAACCTGATTGATTTTAAGATAACCCTTTCATGGAATCAAGAGATACAAGTTGTACATATAAAGAAATATAATTGCATGTTGATTTTCGTTGAAAGAAGTACATTTACAGTGCTGAATAAAAGACATTATACCGTATCCGTTTGTATCAAATCTGAACCTTATTTTGTTTCCATGGTTACCAAAAGCAGAATGAAACACTGACGTGCTGAGTATAGACTTCAAACTCCATTTATCATATGTATTCAATACATTGATTTTCATGTGTTAGATGCTGATTGTGAATTATTTCAGCAATTTGAGGTCGGTTGCTAAGGCTTTTTATCTGTTGCTATGGTCAATTTTACCATTTTAAGTAATTCTAAATTTTTTTAAAATATTTTCCAACAAATTATAGGTTTTATTGTGTGTTAAATTGCATTAATATAACAAATATGCACAATCTTAATAATAAACACATTTTCTGATTTTGTCATTTTTAAGAAAATTGCCAATTTTGGTTCCCATGGTAACAAAAATTGCGAAAAAAAACAGATGTTTTGTTACATTTTTTAATAATTCAATATATGAACTTTAAGCTGCAATCATGTTTTAAAAGAAAATCATCTGCCCATTTTTAATTTTATTTGATTTAAAATGTAACATTTCAGCCATTTTCAAAAAAAGTGAAAAACAGATTTTTGCAACTTTTTAAAATACTATTTTCGCTTTATAGGAAAAAAATTTCAAAACCTATACATTAAAATATATAATTCAAATAATGTTTAGTAATGTGGTAAAATTATTTTTTTTTGCAATTCTCATAATCAGAAAATTTTTGCAACCAAAATAACATGGATTTTTCAATTTTTCATGTATGATTTCATCATAAATTCTCGAAAAAATGGATGCACGTTTCCAAAGCAACCGTTCAACAAAATTAAAAAAATTAGCCTGCAATCATCATTTCAATCTTAGCTGTCTATTATATAAAACAAAAAAAGAAGTTCTGAAACATACATGAATCACCCCCTGCCTGGTTCTTACAAATAGCTGTACTTAATAATTCATTCTGTCCTACAATTTAATATCAAAATCGCTACTTCGGATAATACTACATCTAACAGTGCAGAGCGCAAGTGTAATTAGAACAGGATTTCAGTAGAAACGTTTTAGTCATTCATATATAATGTCATTATTGCCAAATACAATAGATTACATTTGATTTCATCTGCTATACATGTTTTAGGAGCCCAGTTATTGTTTTTGATATGCAAATAACTGTCAATAAAGCGTTTATATGCAGTGTTTTTTTTAAACTACATCTGTTGTATATTTGTACTTCTTTCTTTAAAAAGTTATTTCTGTGAAAGTTCTTGATATAATAATACTGGTAACATTGTTTTCAAGATTGGAAAAAGCGACTCTACTGTTAGAATCCAGAGAATTTTACAGAACGGAGTAATTCTTTGGTTTGTTCCGTGCTACTAATCCACAAAATCCCATTGACATCAATTGTCATCAGCCCGGGCTTTTCTATTCCTAGTAATGTTAAATTTAATATTGTCAGTAAGCTCCCCTGTGCTGTAAGGATATGGAAAGAATTTTGATACATATCTGAAACTATAAAGTTCTTTGATTTTGTTTTTAACACTTCAATAGGGGTGAAAGGATGTTCAGTTGAATGAATAAAGGAGTTTCCAATGTATTTCCATTGAATAATTCCATCTCTACTCATAAACACTACATCTCCTTTATAGTCTCCTAAAATAGTACTGTCAATGTAGCAGATAGCACCTTCATTGGTTGTTGTACAGCATAGTACAACATCTCTTGTAAGTATTTGTTTCTCTCGATTAGTGTGTACCTTTATGATGTTTCCATCAAATCCCAATCTCATGATTATGGGTATGTCTGTTCGGTTTTTCACAGAGCTACAATCCATTCCCACAATGATTTCACTGTCTGTAACATGAAGAGTATACGGTTTATTAGGAGAAAGATCTTTGATCACTTTTACGGCGTCATCGGCAGCCAAATGACAGATTTGTCGAAAAACTGAAGATGCGATGAAAATGTCTTTTTTCAAACATCTAATTTCAGAGTCGCCATGGTCAGTTTTTATTGATTTTATTGTTTTAATTCTTTCTTTCACCTGCAGTTTTCGTATTTCGTTTCTTTCGTTTGTGATCCAGATGTTTCCATCTTCGTCACTTGTTATACTGCTTACTTCAGACATGTCTAGTTCATATTTTGCTTTTATTTCAAATTGAATTTCCATTTCAATTGTTTTAGAGTCAGTTTGAATTTTATAATTAGGAATATATTGCTGTATTTTTATATTCAACGATTTTGGACTGGTCGACTTCCCAATAGAGTCCAATTTTGCATGCACATTTCTTACAGCCTCAAGAAACTCTTCTGTATTTTGTAATTTGTATTTATTTTCTATTTGTTGTATAACTGTTTCGATATCTTTTTTATCTTCTAGAATTTCCAATTCTTTCCTTGATATAAGTTCAGCTTGCCTTTCTGTGTTTTCTTTATGTTCTTTAAGTAACCTCAAACATTTTGACTGAACTTCCCTTGCTTGTTTTTCCTCTCTTAATATATTTTGCTCTATTTCAAATGACTTTGATTTCTCAATTTCTCCCATTAAATTTGATTTTTTTATAAATTTTTCTATTTTAGAGTTAGTCAAAATTTGCAGTTTTTTCATTATTTTAATTTTCTTTTGACAAAACTGTTGAATTTCTTCCATTTGATGTAAATGGTGAGTTTTTGCTATGCACATGGGACAAACTAATAGTTCACATGTTAAGCAGTACATGCAGCACATTTGTTTTCTATGGTCTTTACATTTAACTGGCTTAAAGTCAGACTCTGCATCAGTGTCATCAGTATGAGAATGAATGTCCTTCAAAGCTACAATGTCATGGAGATCAGCATTCTTGAACTTGGCATGTACCTTATCTGTACATTTTTGGCACATATATAGATCACAGTCCATACATTTCACTTTTATTTTTGTATCTGTTTCACATAATCCACAAGCTAGGATGTCCTGAGACTTTTTGATTGATTCAGAATACGCCATTGATTATATTAATTATACGTTTATGTTCTCATACTTCCTTAATGTTTCTCTTATAGTGTCGAAATACTTAGAAAATGTGACGGAAATCATATTATCGTTCCGGAAATTATCAATCATAAGGATACAGTGTGGTGTTGTATTGTTTTAAATATCATATGAGATAATACTTGAAAGAAATTGATTGTTAAGGTTTATCTTTTGCAACACAAAGTAAATACATGCGTATCATCTGATCTGATTTCTGAAGATCACACTCAAGTGGGGACTGTTGTGACTTGGTTACTTTAATATTTTAAAATCATGTATTGTATTTCATCACTGAGTGTCCATTGTCGTTGTCTGTCATATCTAGAAAAACTTTTTCAAAAATTTTTACTTTTCAAAAATGTTTACTTTTTCAAAAATTAACAATTTACACCAAAAACATGAATGATTCATAGATCAATGTCAGAAAGACAATCTGATACCTTCAACTTCAATTCCCACTGTAACTACAGCAATAAAGAAACATTATGTTATCCCTGGACCTTTTATAGCTTAATTTTTTGTACTTAATTTCTGCCAACACACCAAAATAAAAAAAAAATTGTAAAATGAATCGTCTTATATCTTGAAAACCATTAAAGATAAAGAAATATGTCTGATCAAAAATGCTCAAATTGTCAAGATCTTCCTATTTCCAATTTCCACCATAATAACCAAAATGAGAGGCAAAAGATGCCAAAGGGACATTCAAACTCATAAGTCGAAAATAAACTGACAACGCAATGGCTAAAAAAGAAAAGACAAACAGACAAACAACAGTACACAAAACAGAACATAGAAAACTAAAGACTGAGCAGTTATTGCCTATTATTTCGAAAAATATTCTAGATAGATAATTACTCTAAACAAAAAAAAAAGATTAGCAATACAAGCTCTACAAAAATATTAAACGATTGAAACCATTTGATGACTTCTTATAGGAGTTAGGCAGAAATGATAACAGTAAAACATATAAACAATACAATGTCTACAAAGATGCTTATGTGGTTACAACCATTGTATGACACTAATGATAGTTACTGCCCTTAAATGGTGATTTCTTTTTAATGGATCTTGCCTTGCTGATAATTTTTGTGATTTAAAGTGTTTATTTATCTATTATAATTGAAATCATATAAGGCATAACAGAAAAAAACAAGTTTCTCTCTAAATATCATAGTTAACATGATAATAGGCAAAAATGAAAAAAATGGTAAAATTTGACATTTATGGGCAATATCTCCTATAAGAATTTGTCTAACAATTGGTAGAGCTCATAATTCTGAACATTTTTGCTCCTTTCAGATTTTCTCTATTTATAACGGTTCAAAAAATAATAGACAAAACTTGCATATTACCCCTATGTCCTATTCTAGCCATGCCTGCCATCTTGGTTGGAAGGCGGGGTCATCAGACAAATTTTTTAAACTACATACCCTAATGATGATTGTGGCCAAGTTTGGTTAAATTTGTCTCAGTAGTTTCAGAGGAGAAGATTTTTGTAAAAGATTACAAAAATTTATAAAAAAAATAGTTAAAAGTTGACTATAAAGGGCAATAACTGCTTAAGGGGTCAATTGATAATTAGGTCATGTTGACTTATTTGTAGATCTTACTTTGCTGAACATTATTGCTGTTTACAGTTTATCTCTATCTATAATAATATTCAAGATAATAACAAAAAACTGCAAAATTTCCTTAAAATTACCAATTCAGGGGCAGCAACCCAACTACGGGTTGTCTGATTTGTCTGAAAATGTCAGGACAGATAGATCTTAGCCCGATGAACAATTTTACCCAGTCATATTTTGCTCTAAATGCTTTAGTTTTAGAGATATCAACCAAAATCTGCAGTTTATCCCCTTTGTTCTATTTTTAGCCATGTCGGCCATTTTGGTTGGCGGACACATTTGTTAGAGTACATACCCTTCTGATGATTGTGGCCAAGTTTGGTTAAATTTGTCTCAATAGTTTCAGAGGAGAAGATTTGTGTAAAAGTTAACAACGACGGATGACGGTCGACGGACGACGGACGCCAAGTGATGAGAAAAGCTCACTTGACCCTTTGGGCCAGGTGAGCTAAAAATAAGAAATATCAAAGCAATGCTAAAGAGAAGAATATGAAAAAAAAACCAACTGTTAAGATTAAATAAATTGATTAACTTTTGAATTTCCTATAAAAAAGCATTTGCTTTGAACATTTAAATTTAAGTTCATTACGGTGTAATACCACCATTGATTTTCCCCTATTAGTCTTTGTTAAATTTGCACTTTTCAAAAAATTGTGCAGAATTTATCTTTGTTTCAAATAAAGAAATACTTGGCATGAGTAAAGTTTGATCCTGTCCAGTACTATAGAAAAAAATTCACATAACATTTCATTGCATATAAGAAAACAACCATCACTGGAAGTTAACCAATCAAATTTCCCCCCTTTTTTAACCTGTGTACAAGCTTTAGTAACCATGTAACCTCAAGTTTCCAAAATATTCTATAGAAACCCCAAATAAAGAAATAATGGTGCTTTGAAATACCCAAGATATATGTTTATGACTCAGAAATGTTTTACTGCAATGAAATGTAGGATCAATTACTTACAACTGTCAAATTCAAGGGAATATTTTTTTAGACCTATTTTCGTATGCAACCGGATGTGACGTACTATGATTTGGTGGTATTACACCTAAAGAAGACTTTTTTGTTGAATAAACTGAATGTGACTTTTTTCCTTTGTAATACTGGTTATTTCAAGCATTCCTGTCAAGTTTTGTCATTATCAGTTCAATAGTTTGAGAAAAATCTAGTATAATGTAAGACGACATCTACAGCGATTCGAGCAAAATTTCTTCGAAAAATTCAAACCAAGCCGCATCATGATAGAATATAGTGTGGACCAATAAATGATCAAATATTTATCTCATCTGCCTACAAACAGTTGAATATGATACAAAAGATGACATTAGGATGATAAATACTACTAATGGACCTCTTTGTCTTCCTTATAAGGTCTCTTTTGGTCCATTTATACCTCTCATTTCCTCAAAATTTCTACTTTTTAGGCCAATAAATAAAAATATTGGGGTAACTTTCACTCATTTATGATAGAAAGGTTATTATAAATGATTAATTGAAGTATTCAAGCTGAATGAACTATCCGTATGAAAGTTTACTGTCTCCAAGGAGGTTTCATTAAGTCCTTACGTAAAACTTAAATTTACGCCGCGTTCCAGAGAGGGACATAAAAAACTTCTCTTTTGGTGAATAATTTGTTGTTACTGCTTCAAAAATAATTTCATTTATTTAAAATAAATATTTATTAAAGTATTTCTTAGGAGAAATTTTCTAGTGTAGCAGAATATAAGAAATAAGGAGAAAAGGCTCCCCAAGACTCTAAGTATAGCTTGTTCTGTCAACTAATATTCATGGTAAAGTCCTATTTCAAGGAAATTTTCTCATAAAATGTATTTTGGAGACTCAATCCACTCAGAATATTTCATTATTTGTAATATTTCACTTAAATAGCAAGAAATTTTAACACATGAGAGTACTCACAAGGTCAAAGGTGCATGTACAGCTTCCCATATTAGGTGTAATACCACCATTGATTTTCCCCTATTAGTCTTTGTTAAATTTGCACTTTTCAAAACATTGTGCAGAATTTATCTTTGTTTCAAATAAAGAAATACTTGGCATGAGTAAAGTTTTATCCTGTCCAGTACTATAGAAAAAAATTCACATAACATTTCATTGCATATAAGAAAACAACCATCACTGGAAGTTAACCAATCAAATCCCCCCCCCCCCCCTTTTTTAACCTGTGTACAAGCTTTAGTAACCATGTAACCTCAAGTTTCCAAAATATTCTATAGAAACCCCAAATAAAGAAATAATGGTGCTTTGAAATACCCAAGATATATGTTTATGACTAAGAAATGTTTTACTGCAATGAAATGTAGGATCAATTACCTACAACTGTCAAATTCAAGGGAATATTTTTTTTAGACCTATTTTCGTATGCAACCGGATGTGACGTACTATGATTTAGTGATATTACACCTTAAGTAATATTTGATGTAAAGAGCTGGAATAACATTGACTGTGGAATACAATTTAATTTTGAATTTAATAAATTGAACTGTAAATAAACAAAGAGATAATTCCTCACTAAAATATTACATAATTTACACTCATTCTCACAAGTAGGAAACTCATACAATTTCTACCATTTGATAGTAACGTTGTGTCATCTGATGTCTAAAACACATTAAAATTTCCCAAATTTAAAGTAAGTCCGTACATCCCTAAGACAAATACATAAATGAAATGCCTAAAAGTCATCTGTTAATTATGAACATCGCACTGACAATGAAACAAATTCTTGAATAAAACCAATCAAGAGATCATTTGAGCCTTGAGCACTTTACAATATTCTAAGATTGTAAGAGAATGATAATCCATTTCATCATGATAAATACTCGCTAACGCTCTTACTTAATCATGAAGAAAGGGATTATCATTCTCTTACATATACAAAGTTGTGAAAAGGTGCTCATAGAATCACATCATTTAATTCACCTGGTGCATTTCTGAAAGACATAAAAACACATATATGATCTGTTTAGAATATAGCAAAGTGCTCTCGACCAATGAAATTGTAGGATTTGGTGTTTCTTAATTGTGAAGAATGAATGAAATCATGTTCTTAGTAAGGGATTATCCTATTGTTTAGGCCTACTTACAGTTCAAAACAAAGAGTTTCCATAAATGAGTTACAAATGCCCCGAAGCACATTTATCAGCTTGAAAGAATCTGTGATTAAAATTGGCTAAAAGTTGAATTTTGAAACAAACAAAAAAAAAATCAAAATTAGATGAAGTTTACTGGTGCAGTAACATTGGTTACCGGATCCGCGGTTGGGGAGAATAGTAATTTCCAATATTCTGATAAAATTCTAAAAACAGAAATTTAGTTTAACTTTTGAATATATTTTAAACTATTTTAAAGGCATTGTATTTGAACATTTCCCTGACATAATGAAGTAGTATATGATGTAAAGGACTGGACTAAAATATTGGCTGTAAAATAAAATTTATTTGTAACTCAAATTTTGAATTTATTGATTTGAAATGGAAATAATCAAAAAGATAATTCCTCGCTAAAATTTACATTCATACTCACAATCAGGAAACATTTCTTACCATTTCATTGTACTGTTGTGTCATCTAATGTATAAAACATAATTTATTATATTTTCCAAAATTATAAGAAGGTCCTTACATCACTAAAACTAATCCATAAATGAAATCATGCCTAAAAAGGAAGTCATGCATTAATTACAAACATTGCACTGACAATGAAACTAATTCTTAAATACAACCAATCAAGAGATCATTCAAGCCTTGAGCACTTTTCAATATTCTAAGTTTGTAAGAGAATGATTATCCCTTACTTCATGATAAGTACTCGCTAACGCTCGTACTTAATCATGAAGAAAGGGATTATCATTCTCTTACATAAACAAAGAATATTTCTTATAAGGAAAACAGTATTCACTCACTAGTCTTTGTGTTTTGCTAATCGTCATCATGTAGAGAAAAAACAGCTGCCAGTCTATTATATTAGTAAATAAACTCATTACAATTTTAATTGTAAAATTAAATGAGGCTTAGTTATAAGACGATATTTGATTAAAATTTTTATAAACCAATAGTTATGCTAAGAGTTAACATGAGAAGCGCATGCGCAGATAGAGGTCACTATTCAGAGATATTCAAGTATAATTGAATAAATTTCTGGGTGGGTAATAATGAAAAAGGGTGGGCATGTTAACTCTTAGCATAACTATTGGTTTATAAAAATTTTAATCAAATATCGTCTTATAACTAAGCCTCATTTAATTTTACAATTTTTATAAACCAATATTATGCAAGAGTTCCCATGAGATTTGAGAGCCAATTTACTTGAATAATGTAATGTATACATGTTTTGTAAGATTACAATAATGTATTGGATTCCCAAATTACTATAAAATTATTTAAAGTTTGGCACAAGAGTATTATATTGAATCAAACTCTCAGTAACAATTAGTTATTGTTTCAACGACATACAGATACCATAATAAACTGTAGGCAACAAAGCCATATCATAATATGGACTTTTGGTTATGATAAACACATTTTCAAATAATATTGTATTAACTTATATACATCATGAACATAGTTACATTATAAGCAAAAACAAAACTATTTTCCACGAAGTACTCGTACACTATAGTTATCATTGTACTCTTGAACAGTAACTGGTCTATTGTAAAATTGCCTAAAAGTAGACTCATTTGTCCATCCTGCTGATGTAAGAATAGAATTTACTGACACTCCAGCTCTAAATGCTGCTGATGTACTAGCTCCCCTAGTACTGTGTGTTTTAAAAATAGAAGTATTTACACCTGCAAGTTTTAAAACCAATTTAATCCAATTACTAATTGTTGATTTTGTAGGATGATGGTATGGTTTTACAAATGTAACAAAAAGTTTTTGAGATGTACGTATTGCAGATGTTCTTTCGATATAGGCATTTAAAACAGTTACAATACACAGTCTTGAGTCTTCAACAAATGCTGGCAAACATATTGGTGATAAATGTTTTCCTGGTTTTGAAGTTTTCAAAATCTCATTAATTTCAATTATAACATTGTCTTTTGTGATTTTCATAAAATCTAAATCTACACAATGTAAAGTCTGTATTCTCTGTCCAGTAACTAGTGCTAATAACATAACTAATTTCAAAGTTAAACATCTCAATGACAAAACCTTTACAGGCGATAAAGAAATCAAAAATTCTAATACCACATTAACATCCCATGTTTGCTGATATCTAGGAAACATTGGTCGCTTATTATAAACTCCTCTGAGAAACCTTTTAACTAAAGGCCACTGACCAATTGGCAGGGTTTTCCCCAATGTCAAATATGATGATAACGCAGATCGTGCTGTGTTAATAGCACTATATCCTACGCCTGACTCATATAAAACTGTCAAAAATTCCACTACATCCACCTCAGTTGGCGTAAAAATATCAATCTTTCGTTCACAACAAAATGTACACCATTTTTTGAGATATGTCCAATACTGTTTTTGTGTACTTTGTCTCCAGGATGAGATGACAATTTCTGCAGCCTTTTTTGATAGTCCTGTATTTTGCACAATTTGCCCGACAATCTGAAGACACCCAAAATCAGTTTTTTCAACGGATGTTTCTTTTGAGGGTCTGTTGGCAGTATCAACAACTGTTGTCCTTTTTTCCTGGGTATTATGTAAGAGTCCTGAACAATATGATGCAGTATTTGAGGGAACCAATGTTGAGTGCTCCACAAGGGTGCTATTAAGGTTAATTCTGCTTCTTCCAAAATCAGTTTTTGGATTACTTTTCCTACCATGCTGAAAGGAGGAAAAACAAATGAGTTAAAGTTAGTCCAACTTATAGTAAAAGCATCTACTGCTTCAGCATTTGGATCAGGTAAGTATGAAATATACCTTGATAACTGATGATTTATCCTTGAAGCAAATAAATCAATATCATGCGGACCATATATTGAATTAATGCACATAAAAACATTATTGTTAAGTTTCCATTCTAGATCTGTATTGTTGGAACGTGACAATTTGTCTGCTTCAACATTGGTTTTTCCCGGTAAGTGACAAGCACATTACCAAATGTTTCTTTGTATACACCACTGCCATATTTCCCTTGTTAAGTTATTGAGAGACTGAATTCTACCTCCCATTTTGTCTATATAGGTCACAGCTACCATATTATCCATGTATAATCTAACATGTTTATCGGATTTTGTTGAACAAAAACATTTTATAAATAATTTATGTGTAAATTCTGCTCTTCATATGACCAAAAACCCTTGGTTTGAAGTTGTGTATTGTCAACAACACCACCCCAACCAGTTTTTGAACTGTCTGTTTTTAACATTATCTCAGGATCTGTCCGTACTAATGGCTTGAAACTAGACTCAACATGAGAAATCCACCAATTTAACACATCTACTGATTCATTTGAAATGATAATTTTATTGTCAAAATCTCCATTGTTTTGTTTTAAAAATTTGTCTTTTTCTATTTCTAAAGATTTTACATATATAAGCGCATGTTCAACTCCTGGTTCGGCAGCAATCAATTTGCCTATAATTTGTGCAAACTGCCTGATTGACATTTGTCTGTTTTTTACATATTTACAGCATAAAAGTTTTATTGCTTGCGCTTTTTCAGTTGTAAGTTTAATTGTCATTGTCATGGAATTCAACACAAATCCTAAAAATGTAATCGTTTGTGTCGGTTCAAATACAGATTTGACTGGGTGAATAGTAAAGCCTAATTTATCCAATAAGGTGACTGTATCAGAAATATTAATTGTACATTGTGAATAACTATCACTGATCAAAAGACTATCGTCAATGTAAGCTACATTTTTGTGTCTAATTTTTCTTAGATGTGAAAATGGCACTTTTAAAACTTTTGTAAATATCCTTGGCGCAGTTGTCAGCCCATTAGGCAAACATGTATACTCATACAACTGATCATTCCAATAGAACCGCAAATATTTTCGGTATTTGTGATCAATAGAAATAGAATAATATGCGTCTTTCAAATCAATAGAAGCAAACCAGCAGTTTTTTGACACACATTGTATTGCTGACTTTAATGTCTCCATTTTAAAATGGTGTTTTTCAATATCATTGTTGAGAACTTTTAAATTTAAAATCACTCTACATGTACCATCCTTTTTTGGTCTTATAAAAATATTTGAAACATATTGATTTTTAATATATGTCACTGGTTTTATAATTTGTTTGTGTAAAAATTTATCTATTTCTAACTGCACCATATTTCTTTCATCTGTATTAAATTGTAACATATTTGGTTCCTTGTTTTGTGATGGAATTTGTTCAAACTCAATTTGATACCCTTTTACAACATTTAAAACCCAGTTATCTGAAGTTAAACTCATCCAATTCTCTTGGAATTTTATCACTTTCCCACCAATGAAATTGTCTGGTGTGTTTATAAATGTAAATTGTGTATTCAATTGCTGAACTGAAGTACTCACAGGCAAACTATTTTGCTTTGGCAATTTTATAGGAACTTCTTGTCCTACTCTTGGAGCTTCTTTTTGAACTTTTTCTTTTTGTAAGTTGGTTTCCCTAAAAAATCTTTCTTGTTTGATGTTTTGTCAAAATGACGTTTTGGTACATGAACATATGGTTTCTTAAAAGTTTTCTTGTCATCGTGTGATTTCTTTCCAATTTTAAAATTGGTTTTGCCCAGTTTCTTTCCAACTGTATATTCAGCATCCATTTCTTTGACTTTATCTTTGATGTCATTTCCAAAGAGAAAATCAGTTACTGGAACATCATCCTTGCACAAAGCTTTATATTTGGGTTGAATTTCAGCTTGTATCAAAGCTCTTCTTCTGAAAGTTATGTCTGCATAAGTCACTTGTGTCATCTGATATGCGTCTTTACAAAGTTGCGTTGCAGACTGTACTTCTTCTCTAGACAGTCCATCATTAGTTTGTGATTTAGACAGAAACAAGTCCATTAAGTAAAGCATAGGACACGCTGCTTTACCCAATAAGTTTTGAATTTTTTGAAGTTTAACGTCATTCATTCTGTTAGGTACTGACATCTGTGACCATATACCTGAAAAGGAAATGAATTCCTGTAATTTTTATACAATTCTACAATTTGCTAAATTGTGCCTGCCGCAATCAACTAATTTATATTGGTTTGAATAAATTTTTAAAATACAATTTACGTGTATATATATATTTTTTAAAATAAATTGAATTTTAATTTTGTTTAAACATGTACATGTATCATGTGTATTATTTCATATTTGCATTATACATACACTCACCCAAATTAATTTTTGGGACTGTCAAACTGTGTACATTTTCTGGCTTTGCATACTTTTTGGTTAGCTCATCAACTTTGTTTTGCTTGGCCTTCTTTCTCAAGCCATCATTGACAACAGATGCCAGTTCATCATTTATCTTTGGGCCAGCTTTCTCTTCAGTTACCATGAAGCCTTTCATATCTTCAATAACAGACATAGTGTCATTCTTTGTATTAGAAGTATGAATACTTGGAGTGTGACTGTGAACTTCTGGTTGTTCTTGTTCGTCAAGTTCAATGTCTGAATTTGAGCTTTCTGACTCATCTTCACTCGATACATCAGAATAAGGGCTTGTTTCCCTTTGGTTCTGTTTGTGGTCTTGAGACTGACACAGTTCTTCTAGTTCTTTTACATAATGTTGTGCTAAAGACTCAGATTGTACTCGTGATCCCTGTCCGTGACCACTTTCACATCTTTGTTTTTTGGAACTTGACGGTCTTACATGTACGTCATCACCGGCAGTGACAGTACATGTACGTTTGCCATGTGTCTTTTTCTGCACTGGTGTGTCAGTTCTTTGGTTGTTCAACAAAGCTTGCGTAAGTAATTGTGTCTGTATCAGCAGTTGATACATATCCGGACATTGTTTGTCAACATCCGGTGTTTGGTTGATTGACACATGTGACAATGGAGCTCCGCCCCCTACGGACAAATTGTCTACATTTTCAAGTCTAGCTTCATAAACTATTTCATCATTGGAAGCTTTATCATTGTTGCAGTGTTCTTGATTTACTTCATAAAAATGAAGCAATCTACTGTCATTTGAAGAATGTCTTTCCATTTTGGAATGTTCTTCCTTTTCATCCGCCATTACGGTCGGACATTTAGACAGCCACACTGTGGTCACAAGAACGACCTCGACCGCAGTCGTCAGTCTTAATAATGTTCAAGGACCTATAACAGCAAACGTTGCTGATCACTGTTCATCCATTGAACCGAATAATAAATCCAATTAAAGAAGAATATATTAAAAACTTTCAATAATAAGTTTCTAAAATTTCCACGTGTTAACCTCTTAAAATCTGCTAACGCAGTGTCCTCTATCTGCGCATGCGCTTCTCATGGGAACTCTTGCATAATATTGGTTTATAAAAATCAAGATTTCAATCATGGTCACCATATACTAAGTACAATGTTTGTAGTAGATCATTTGAATAATTGATAAAATAGTTAACAGAATAAAGCACACATTATTATATATCAGGCAGAGCAAATCAGATCTAAGATATTGACCTATTTCTACTAACTTGAGGGGTTATTATTGAGTACCGAGGCCAATAGAATTGTGACTAAATGGAAAACATCTAGATATTATAGTATACATAATGATGTTTCTATCCAGATTGATGCATCTGAGATTAAATTAAATTAACTTTTTCACCTGTAAATTTATTCTTGTCCTGAATATGCATGAAATATTTGCCACAGGATTGTTAAAAGCAATCAGCATACAGTCAACCTGTTAATCCAATTTATTCTTGATTAACCATATAAACTGACCACAATTCGTCATATATATATATATGCACATTACTAGGCGGTGTTGCCGTAGAAGTGAATAGTGAAAAAGTACAGGTTTCAGCCCCGGTCGGGCAGGAAGTAAAGAATTAAATCTACTCTAACATTGTTAGGTTATTTTTCTAGGCACTTTATATATTTATATATATGAGAAGGAATTCTAAAGATCCATATAAAGGTGGAGAGGTAGGGTTGTTTTTCAAACGGAGAAAGTTCTGAATTAGTTCTATAGACCAATTGGAGAAAGAAAGAGTTTATTTGTGAATTAGAGAGAAAGGAATAACATTGGTTTATAGAATGTGTTTGGTAGTAAATAAATATGCAAAAGTGGTTTGAAAATTAAAGTTTTTATTTGAAAAAGGTCAAAACAGAAAAAATCAAAACAGATTTTAAGATGATAAAATTATACAGTATATAGGTCTTTGATTAAAAAGTAAAGGAAATTCTAGGAAGTATGTTTATGATTTTTCTGTTAGTGTCAAACAACTGTCATTTTCCTGACTTGGTACAGGAATTTCCATTTGTAGAAAATGGTGGATTAAACCCGGGTTATAGCTAGCTTACCTGTCACAATAACAAGGCACTGCACAATACTGAAATAAAAAGTTCTCTTAAATATTTATGATGTCAATAAGTGTCTACATACATATATGATATGCGTTTACTTCAATCCTATATTTGTCCACAAGATACCATATCCCGCTCGCTCTATCATTTTTCTTATTCAGTGAACCGTGAAATTGGAAAAAAAACTATAATTTGACATATAATACTAAAACAGAATTGAGACTGGAAACAGGAAATGTGTCAACAACCCGACCAAAGAGCAGAATACATCCCTAAACCAATGGGTCTCCAACGCAGAGAGAAAATCCTGCATCGGCGCGAGTGGGCTTAAGCTAGTCCTAAACAATAATATATACTAGTTTTCCCGTTTGAATGGTTTTACACTAGTAATTTTTTGGGGCCCTTTATAGCTTACTGTTCGGTGTGAGCCAAGGCTCCGTGTTGAAGACCGTACTGTGACCTATAATGGTTTACTTTTATAAATTTTTACTTGGATGGAGAGTTGTCTCATTGGCACTCATACCACATCTTCTTATATTTAGTTAAGCGAAATGGACACCACACTAAACTCCGAAACATATAAAGGAACCATGATTTAAAAAAAAACAAGAATAACAAAGGTTACAGGTTATTGACTTGGGATAGGCACAAACATGCGGCGGGGTTAAAAATTTTTTTTAGATCTCAACCCTCCCCCTATACCTCTAGCCAATGTGAAATAAACACACACAGCAATACCCACAGTAAAACTCAGTTTAAAAGAAGTCCGAGTCGGATGTTAGAATAGAGGGGTGAAAGATACCAAAGTGACATCCAAACTAATAAGTCGAAAATAAACTGACAATGATCCTATAGAATACAATCAATAGAATATGTAACAGAAGAAACTAAGCAAAATGACAATGACCAACATAAATTAACAAAGGCCTAGCAGTAACTGACATGCTAGCTCTAGACATCAATTTAAATGATCGGAAGATTACGTCTTGATCATATGAAAATCAAGCACAATCCCTCCCGTTTGGGGTTTAGTATCATGCCATCATAAATTATACGAGAAGATCATAACCCTTATCATGCCAACAACTGGTTTGTTTATTTCCGATGCAAAGATCCTATGAGTAAATCAATACTTGTTTTTAAAATGCCATCTTTAATGACTTGACAACATAATTGTAACTATATCCCATGTGAATAAGTGTGTTTAAAGGTTTGGTTAGCTTTTGAGGTGAATGACGACATTGTTTTGCTTTGTATAGAATATTAACATAAAAGATGGGAATTTGAAATACCTGAACGTATAAGATGTCTGCACGTTGATTTATATTTACAAATGATGTCCTTGTACCGATGATAAAATATGGTAAAAGTTTTGACAAGTTTGTGATATCGAGAACTCTGGAGTAATAATTTTTCAGTAATATAGAGATTTCTTTCGTTCAAATCAAATACATTGTTACAAACACGAGCGAATCGAACAAGTTGAGATTTAAAAACATCATACGATGGTGCCAAGGGAATGTCACTATCTAAAAACGGATAATTAACAATTAACAATAGGAAATGTAAAATCATCTCTTTTGTCGTAAACTTTAGTAGTAAGCATCCCGTTTTACCATGCTCGTCCGAATTTGAAATATTTCTTTACTAAATTCCTATGTGTAAATAAGACAAAACTCTAATATAGATTTGATAGCTCGCAGTAACTTGTTCTTTTCGTTTGCAAATAATGTTTATTGACATAACAATCAAATACATGTATAATTTAATTTCAATGAACATAAACTATCCATATTCATAAATATGGCAATAAACGGCAAACTGTACGTTGTAGTTACTGTGAGCACCTTTGATGAACTGACAGCTCAACAATTTCTTTATATAGTATAACGTAAACCAACCTTTAAACCGCAAAAGGATTTCATTTGCATATGTTACCCACATATCTGAATCCAAAATAACAAGAACCCGTTTTACAACTGCTCTAACCAGTTTTAAACATATAAAAAGTAAACACAGAAGAAATCCCTAATTCAAATGAAAAGAAATATATTTATATCAAAATCCAGGAAAGGGCACAAAAAAGTTTACATCACAATGACCATGTGTAAAAAATTTCAATTTGATCTGACCACAACTTCATGGAAGATTACATTAACCAAAAACTTTAACATGAGAATATACTGGTTTCACACTATTTCATTTGCAGGTTCAGTAAACCTTGAATTCAGAGTCATTACTGTAAATTGGAATAAAATTAATAGAGTTCACATCAAAATGAACAAGTTTCAGGTTCAACTCCTTCATAAACTACATTTATTGAAAACTTAAAGATGATATGGGACGGAAGAACGGATGGAAGGACAGATGGATGCACAGACCAGAAAACATAACGCCCTTTACTATCGAAGACAGGGCATATACATATATCTTCATGAATAACCTTTACAAATAATTCAGTTTGATTCTGGCATGTTTGAGATTAAAAACACACAATTTGATTTTTTAATACTTTTCCAATTTTTAAAATGCTTTCTATTATTATTCTCTTTTAGGTGTTTAACTTATACAACATGGTTTTGCAGCAGATTCAACCTGACATCAATATGTTAGAAGAATCACTGTTAATAAATCGGAACTTATTGATGAAAAAGAAGTAACCATTTTTCTTGTCCTGAGTTTCATGCACTAATTGTAAATTTTGCCTGCTTAAATAAGCAGCATATTGATTACCTTTTGAACTGCAACTAATTTGAATAGGCTAGTGCATTTTTCTGAAAATTTTAGATACCTTTCATTAAGAATATGTCAAAGATAACATGTTGATTTAGATTCATTTTTTTCTGCCCCTGCCAACTTTTTATTTTCTGGTCGTAGATAGAACCTAGAACTAGCAGTAAACTTAAACTAAAATGACAATTCTACCCCAGCATTTCACAGAACAGAACATAATTTAAGTAAATTGTGGCGTTTTTGCTGTTTATGCACATTTCTGGATTTATCTATCTTGGTTATGGTAAGAGCCAAAACATAGAGATAGTAAGAAAATGTTGAATACCAGTACATTGTGAACTACTGATAGAAACAAATTTTATTACATGAATGTATGCATGGAAATTTGTATATTTCATGGACAAAATTCAAATGGTGAAACATGATGGTTATAATTTATGAATGCATATATATAGTGTCCTTATTAAGTTTATCTTTCTCTAAAGTAAGGTTTATTGCCTGCTGCAATATTTGAATTATTTAAATAGTTGGTGAAGTTTTAAATATTTTGATATGGAGTGAACTATAAATATTCTAATAGGCAGTGAACTATAAATAATTTAATAGGCAATGAACTATAAATAATTTAATAGGCAGTGAACTCTAAGTTATTTATTTATAGTCAGTGAACTCTCAAATTATTTCAATAGGCAGTAAACTCTTTGACCAAGGCCATGAAGCCCGTCAGATGCACATCTATCATATATAATATTCAGGAAGCAGACTGATAAAAAACTAAACCTTGACTGATTGGAGATGATAACGAGGTGCATATTACATATATATTATATAATAGATCGATAAAAATAAATCAAAGATATAAGGATTATAATTTTGAACGCAATAGGCGTGTTTCGTCTTCATAAGACTCATCAATAGCACTCGAATTAAAATAGTATGAAGGTCAAACAAATCTGAAGTTGTAGAGTTTAATAAAACCGAGAATTCCGAAAAATTGT